TTTTTTCCAAAAGTTCGCCGTTTCGACGCTGGGTTAGTCGGATTTTGTCAACATCAATAAAATGCCAAATAATCATACTTAACTCATTAAATATCGAAATTAGAAAAAGAATGCACTATTTTTAATTATAGGAAATGCGTTTTTCTAAGGCACATAAACTTTTGAGATTGACTGTATAGCCAATACATCCTTAAGATGTGCAATAAAAAGTATGCAAAAGTAGAAATTGTAGGACATGTAGACAGTAGCAAGTCACGTACAGTTTAATCAAGAAATGCCACAACTATGTATTAGAATATTACAAATTATGCGTTAAAAATTCCTTATGGCCGGAAAAAACAGGTCGAACAATTTTATAAACTTCTGTAATTATCATTTTTTCTAAAAGTTCATTGCTTCAAATATTGGACACAGTTTTTTATTACATACCTTAAACTTTTGGCAAAGATTTTACGGTTCATACAGCCTTAATACAGTGTAATATTAACATAGATGGCATACTTTTAAAAAATCTGAATATACAGAAAAACATTTGTCTCGTCCAAAAAGTAGAGGATGCTCCAAACTTTTGAAGCATACTTAAGTAACTTGATATTTCTTCTAATACCAGTACAATGTAAATACTCTTCTTTTACAGAATTCTATTCTTCACTTTACCGAAAAGTGCATTTTCTATCAATGAAAAGAACGTGATATCTACAGTAAAAATGTTATTAAAGACAGTGGAAATTTTGCCAGGCTTCTCGGCATTTGTTATAAACCCATATAGATGGAAAACGTTTACTAGTAACGGCAAAATATCGCACCTCGAAGAAGTTATCAAATCAAAGAGGAATAGTATTTCGACTAATTAATTTATCTGTAACAAAATTGACTATACTTCATTAAAATATAAAATGACAGACGAAGTAAGGAGGTAATTTAAAACCTTTCTCTTGTACATAACGAGGCTCTTTAAATTTTGGAAAAGAACATTCACATCGAGTCGCACGCATTCGTATGACAATATTTATTTATATGAAAATATTTATAATGACAACAATAAAATTGCATGTTTGTCGAATTCTATGTACTTCATACATATTCCTAAAGAATTTACATTATATCATAATAGATAAAATATTTTGCGTAATACTAATTTTCATACGTTTTGCTGAGTATTTTTTGCTTATATATAAAATATATATAACGAAGGCAATAATTATAACATGTAAATAAAGTTTTATGCAATATTTCTGCCTCACTGCCATTGAAAAGCTGCATTAAAAATATAATTCGTTATTGTTATTATAAAATACACTTGACAGGCACACAAATAATCGTTTGAAGACGTACTAAAAGGAAAATAGTGATAATAGAATAACTAAAATATTAAATAGCACCTGATAGCACCATTCCTTTTGTAAAAATGATACATTATCACTGATTTAGACCAAATAACTTTAAAGCGTTGAAAGCTGTAGCTAAGGCAACTTCTTCCGGTGTAATTTGCATAAACGCTGCTACCATTTCGACTATCGCTGGCAAAGCGCATGGTTCGTTACGTTGGAACGTACAATAACGATGAAGAAACGTCATGGATCTCTCGGTAAGAGCATCTTTAACATGTACAGGTAGTTTACTGGCTCTAGTGTTGGGATACATGAACGGGGCGTCCGTCTCTACTAATATTCTGTCCAAAGGCGCGAGCCTTTTTTCCAGCAATTGCCTGACGCCGGTATCGGACTTGTCTTTACACAAATACCCGGTGATGCCTAAGTAAAAACCGTGATCTAAATAAACCTGTGCCTCCTTCGCGGTCCCGATGAACGAATGGATTAAAATCGGTGGCAGACAATTCTTATAATGATTTAGAACCATCAAAACATCCTCTTGAGCACCCCTTTCGTGTATTACAAGCGGCTTATTTAATTGACATGCGAGTTCTACTTGTTTATGAAATACGGCACGCTGCGTCTCGGGATCGGAGAAATCGCGGCTATAATCTAGACCACATTCGCCTATCGCTACACACTCCGGGTTGTTAGCTATGCTTTCGAGTTCCTGAAGAGTGTTCGGATCCTCCCATGACTTTGCGTCGTGTGGATGCACACCGGCAGTGGAGTACAGAGTGCCAGGATATATCCTGGTCAATCTGAGCGCCTCTTTACTGGAACGAATACTCGCACCCGTTACCATGATTTTTTGCACTCCAGAATCCCTCGCTCTCTGAATCACACTGTCCAAATCCCTGCTATATTTTTTATTAGTAAGATTGGCACCGACATCGATTATAATGTAATTCTCGTAACACTGCGTCATAGCCGAGGAAATAGGTTTTTCCTCCGCGTTCGATGCAGCAGTTGTCTCGGCCATGCCTCAAGATTCAATTGCGATATCTGAAAGATGATTAGAACCAAAAGTAATAGTAATCAAGAATATATGTTTCCGTTTACGGAAACGTGAATCGTTTCGAAGGAACGTGGCAATACTTGTTAAATCGCGTCACATACTTTAGCCAACATACGTGTACGTATGTGGAAAGAAAACAAACAACGTGCAGTGTGAACGATCGCTGATTAAATTGATTAACCTGACGACCGGGGGACGGAAAGAATAAACGAGGAAAACGTATATGCGATTATTGTTAGCTGATCTATAACAAGTATCACGATAAACAGATTTCTCAAACACTAACAATGATAAGCAATATGCATTTGTCGCCAGCCAGTCGAAGCTACCTTCAATTAATGGGTGATGTCAAAATCCGAATTCGTACGACGTTTACTAGTGTTCGTTCACCACACACGAGATGTACGTGCAAACAAGTGAACGCATACAGACGGATGATGAATACATGCCAACAGAGAAGCTTTTGTTGCAGTGTATACTTATAAACTAACCGCCTTTTCTCAAAGTATACAAACCGTAATCTCAATGAATTAATTTATACGGTGTACGTGCGCGATCAGTCAACTGATACCTTGACATCACCGCTTGTACCTCTTACCTTTATCGAATTTAATTGATTCCATAGCATAATCGTAGTAACCTACCAGGCGGGAAATATAATCCTGACCATGAAGGTATTGTGCTTCATTAATCATTTTCATTTATCATTATTATATAGTGGGGCGAAATAATGAGAAAGATTGTTTTATGTAGAAAAGGAAAACAAGGCGTCAGCTTCTGGCGGAGAAAGAAGCCGTTGCCAGAACTCTGGTCGAGCAAGCAAACTCTGTACCAAACCCCTTGGAAGCTTTAGGCTTTTTTAATGAATACGTGACTAGTAAAGAGAACGAAGTTATCAAAATGTCTTGTATGAGGGCAAAAGACGCAACGGCCGAGTGTACGTCTTGGATTTTTGATATAATGGAACGAAACATGAAAGCTCTGTATGAGCAGAGCGACTGGGGTTGGCATCCACATGCCAAGCAAAAGGAATTAACAGAAGCGGAGGCTTGGTACTTAGTAGCATCTTTAAATGATGAATATGTTGGATTCTCTCATTTTCGATTTGACACAGATTACAGGGAAGAAGTCTTGTATTGGTATGCGAATCATATTTGTATATACTTTTAGAAATCGAGAAAGGAAATGTATATATATATTTATTGCTTTTAAGTGCAGTTACGAAATACAGTTGGAATCTTCTGTGAGGAGGAAAGGACTTGGCCAATTTATGATGACAGCTCTCGAGTGCATGGCAGCAAACAACAAGATGCGCAAAGTAGTTTTAACTGTACTGAAACATAATCCATCGGCTATACAGTTCTTTTATTCTGTTGGGTGAATAGAATTTGTCTAATATAATTGTTTAGAATAGGACGTAGTACGAGGGAAGTACAGGATTACACTTCCAATCTTTATTACACATGATTTATGTTCGTAATAGAGTATACATACGTTGCAGATGTACACTTACACGGACAAACTTACATTTTGTAAAATTTTACGACTAGCATGGAAATATTGTTTTATAAAAATCGGCCTATTATTCTTAATATTATTTCTCGTCAGTGTTTTCAGCTCATAATCATTTCATCTAAATACAATTTGATCCACAATTATTCGTACTCATTTAAAAATTGAATAAGTCTTTTAATATTCGACCTTACGAATTAATCTTTTGTTACGTATTAAAGATACTAGTTTTCTTTATGATGTATAACGTAAAATTAAGAAAAAACTGCTATAGATCGAACTTTTGAAGAGAATAGTAAAGTTGACAATTTTTAAGTTTCTTATTTTTTCCTCTAATAAAAATTCAAAATTGCTTTTTGGATATCGAAAGATGATATAT